GTCCCTGACACCATTCCATTTGGAAAAATGCTAAACGCAACGGCTTTGATTGGCAAGTCGGCTAGCGTATTCCTCAGACTTCATCCTTATTGAAAACGTAGAGGTATCGTGGTTCGCGGTCTCTACGTCATTGAACAAAAGAGTAATATCACAAGTGACCTAACACGTCGGTGAAATTTGCTAGTTGGGAACAGATCTGCAAGACATGTATCCAGACCCCATTCATAGCATGCCAAACAGAATGGCTCAACTTACTAGAAACTTTGGTAGGCCTACCGATTTCAGATTTTGAAGATATTGCCGTTTTTCAAAAAGTGTCCACATAATTTTGATACAAAGAAAAAACTTTCCATGAAAAATAGTTCGCTAAGTTAGAACGAAATCTTTTGCCGAAAATATCATTGTAGGTTATCGACCACTAGGAGTTGAATGGTGGAGTTTCATGACATAAAAGCCTTTAGCTGACCCCTGAGAATCGATTCCAGGGTGTCCACATACTTTTGGTACGCACTGTATTAGGTCGTGAAGAAAGTTCTTGCGCTTTTGGACCTTGATTTTCAAATGCCTGTATCTCGGCTCATTCGAAACCTTTTTGATTGGAGTAAAGACTGTTAGAATCCACAAACCTCTGCCAATAATAGCTGCGTTGAATCAGCCCGGTAGTGCAGAATACTGGAGCTCTAGAGACGATGAACCCGGCGGAGGTCGTTTCCGCATCATGTTGGTTTTTGAAGCATAACTCTTTGGAGAAGCTATCCAGGTAGTCGAGAAAGTGACAAATTATAGGCAAAAGGTCTACCGAGTAGGATGTTCGCAGGACTAATTCGTAGCCAATCTTGTCCAACTTCTGCAGGGTTGGTTGTGGAATGTGCGTCCGAGCTACCTGTCAGGGACGAGCCGGTTCCTTTATAATGAGGAATTTCGAGCATATGTGCCAGAGTTCTAGGAGTAGTTTGACACATTATCAGGAGTACTTTTTCCACATTAACAGATCCACCTGGTTACGAAAAGCTAGACCAGCCGCTGACCTTATGAAAGTCACCTCAACCTTCCTTCAGTGAAGTTTCACTTTTGCAAAGTTTGTAGAGCGATCACTTCACCAAAGGTTCGTATTCTGTAGCAAAGAATCCGTTCTTTGTCGTGCGTTGCAAATGATCAAAAAGTCAGATAGTTTTCACCAGTTGCGCCGCACGCATTGCGCGCGCAACACAGATCTGCGGCGAATTTTGATGGTGCGACG